ATCTCAGCTTTGACTGACAGGACCGATATTATTATAGAGTCGGATGTCTTGTCCTGTCAGGGCCTTGTAACTCTGGAAACTGTAACTCTGGCTCGTCCCTCAGGAGTCCTGTGAGTCGGAGTGGCTGCCACGTCCAGCAGCAGCAGCAGAATGAACCAGCTGCACGAGGAGGCTGAAATATCTTGGTTCCTCGAGTCACTGACAAATAGAAAAAGAGCAGAGCATTGCATCATCTCAGTTGTCTCTGCAGCCGTCACTGGAAATGCCACAAGTCTCATAATGTGCTGCAGCAGACAAACACGGCAGCCCATTCCTTCTCACACATGGTGAAGCAGACTGCATGGTGTTTATCGCTTGTGCTTTTAATCCCGAATTATGTCAAAAGAAAAGGTGGAGAAAAACTAAAATATTCAGGGGTGGAGTCAGTGCCGTATGCAATGCCAGTAAGCCACCACCCATCTCAGAGCCATGCCGTGTATAAAAAAAAAAACGGTTTTATTTTTATTCTTTCATACCAATGGGATCGTGTTTCTTCTATGACCTTGGTGTAATATTTCTCAATGTTCCTGCAGCAAGCACTTACCTTGACTTCGCTGCACTCACTGTACACATTGTGCACAATGTGACACGTTGCATATCGCAGTATAAGGATATCCCTGCAACCATGACACAGACTCACTCACTGACTCACAGTCCTTCTCCTCAGCACCAGGAAAGCTCACCGAACTGAGTGCAGCCAATCCTTTTTTTTTTTCCCCACTGTTGCTGCTGCTGTCGCTACACATGACGAATGAAGGAGCCGTGTTGTAAAGTATGCGTATGTTCGTGTCAGATAAATGTGGCACGCTGTCACTTTTCTCTGAGAACGGCAGAGTGTGTTGATGCAGCAAACTGTTAGCAAATGGAAAATGTCTCCAGGTAAAGCGTTCCACCATTCAGATAATAAGCTCTTGCAGTGGGCGTGTGTGCAGACTCGTGTGAGGGCATCAGTCAGAGCGAGCTGCAGATCGGCAGTATACCGCAGTGGACCAGTGTCCTTGTGTCTCTCCTGGTGTCTGGCTCTTTTCCAGCATCTGCCCTCACCCTGCTGGGCCTCAATCTGACCAGCGCGACTCTCTCCTCCCTCCCCCTTCTCTTCTCCTTCTCCTCTCTCTCTTTGCACAATGTTCTCTCCTCCCTGTCCCAACTCTTCCTCGTCTCCTCCTTCATCTCCGTCATGTCTAGAATCAGAAAATCTGTGTTTAATGCAGCAGGAATTCAAATAAACACGATATGAATTCATCTTTTCCATCTCTTTTTATTTGCAGCCTCTATCATACACCGTGCCGCAAACTTGTGGCCACTGCCTCAGATGTACAGGTAGCTCCAGGGAACACAGAGAAGGACACAGGCTTTATATTTTGGTAACTAATCCAATCTTTTTCTTATTTATTGCCTTCCGTAGTTGTGTGTAACTTGGCCTCTTCCGCAGGGCACCTCAGTTTCTGTCTCCTGAGCAGGGATGCTGGAATGACTCATCTCCCACAGGGTTAAATAGATTGAGTCTCAGTGAACAGATGCATTGGAAACACAAGTGTTAAGCAGCAAGGTTGTGGGATTGTCCGTATGAGATCATTATGTGGAAATATAATATGGTGATGATTTTAAATGCATTGCTAATGAGGTTTACACACAGGAGAGTGTTGCATCATCATATCTAGAAGGAAATCAGTTTTCATTTAGCAGCAAATTCAAGCGTGAATATTCTACTCAGACTTGATCTCCTCCACCTCACTGCATCATGTTGACTATTATGTCATATTGAGCTTGCAATGAGCAGACCTGGGTCCTGAAGTTTTCTGTGAATCTTTTTCACTCTGCGAGTGTGTGTGTGTGTTTGTATGTGCAGGAAACATGCGGCTGCTGCATTGCAGTATGTTGGAGCAAGGAGCGACAATAAACCTCCATTAAAAAGAGCACTGCTCTCCAGGGACTGGACTAAACAGCAGTGACACTGGATAAACATACGTGTCCCCTCAGTGCTTTGGGTGCAGCTAGTTGTGAGTACTGACAAAGTATTTAAAATAGTCCCCTGAACTGGGATTTGAATGGTCAACGGTTTTTTTTGGTGCATAAAAGACAATGTCCTTCAGGCACTTTTAAGCTGATCAAGGAGAAAATATACATTAAAAGATATAGTCCGTCATATTGGTTTAAAATCCTGACTGGTTCTGACCTCAGGGTCTTCATCTGGTCAGAACATATAAAGACAGATTGATCTCACAGTTTTTTTTATCACTAAGTGCTTCATGTGTCTCCAGGACTGAAATATCTCAGATACTCTTAATTTTGACAGTGTCCCTCTGAAAGGCGTGGCTAAGAAATGAATTGAGCACCAGCTATATTTGATATTGTACTTCAATACATCCTTTCTACCATTATCTCTTATCAATTATCCAGTAAAAACTAGATAAATTATGTTCGTACATTTACCATTTTTAAAACTTTATATCCAAATATTTTGACACAGCAGCTTGTGTTTAGACATTAATCAACATTTGATGTGTGAAGCGTCTTTAGTTTAATTAAAAAATGATTCTTATAAAAATCATATTAATATTTCCACAAGCATTGAATATGTTTCTATTGAATATTGTAATTAAATATGATGTAATGTTACACCTGAAAAACAAGAAAAATTCTTCAAAAGCAAAAAATCTTACTCAGATGGACAAGTTACATTTTTGTTCAATTAACTAAAGAACTTCCTCTTTATTAGATAAAAAAACAGCAGCAGGAAAACATTTGAAATCATCAGTCAGTGTAAGTTATTCTTCTCTTCTTCCTGTATCTGCGCCAAGACAACATTCTGATCGAGACGAGGTGTCCTGAAATCAATACCTCTTGGACTCCAATTCACCGTTGACACCCTCGTCCACCAACTTACTCAAACGCCCTCACGTCCCCGAAATGATTAAAACGTGCACAGCGTTTACACTGCCGCGTCCCTTCACTCTTAATTAAAGCCAGTGAGCTAATACAAAGAGAACTGAGCTTTAGAGGCTGCATTAACGGTCTTTGTCGAGGGGCCCCCTGCTCATAAATAATGGCTGTGCTGTCATGATGAACCTGGGAAAGCCATTAGGAGATAGTGAGAGGTATCCGCATGTGTGGCAGCAGGCAGGCAGACGGACAGAAGGGACGACGCTGGGACTCGTGATGGTCACGGCTCTGCCAAGAGTAACCTTGGCAAAGCCGAAGTCCACACAAATCATCCTACTCTCATCCCCCACCCTCTGATGCTCCTCATTCACCTCCTTCCTGTCCACGGCTGAGGGATTCCCGCTAACCTTTGGCTCCTCTTGAGGTCACTTCTGGCCATTCCCAACGTCAGTGATAATAATGGGCAGAGGATTTACTATTGATCTTTTTTTTTTCCATTCTATGAATCAAGGCACAATGATGAAGGTTTCGCTCTATTTTGGTCTGCCAGCTATCTATTATTAATCGAGCTCGCCACCAGGAAAGGTTACACGTGTAACTGCTCAGCACAAAAAGTACAGATGTACAAGAATTACACGGCAGAAAGCGGAGATATGATTAGGATTCGACACCTTGAATGAGAAACATCTTATCTTCAACACGCTGATTGGTTTATGGCACAGTTCAATGAGCACGCTGACGTTTTTTCCAGAAATTACAGCCACAGTCTAATAAAGGCACAGTTATTGTATTGTTTGTACAGTGCTTGGAATGTTGGTGCGTAGCAAAATGTGACCTTCCGCGAAACATATGCCTCAGGAAAATATGCCACATGTTCTTCCCTCAAAAAAAAACAACTCCAGCGTGGTGGTGCTAGAAATAAGACCAGAGACACCACGGCTTGGGCATGTCCTCAGAATGGATCAGAACAGCATAGTTAAGATGGAAACCACCATGTTTGCCATTGTTTGTCTGCAATTCTTCATTGTTACTCATAAAGCATCTGGTAAATGTGTTTTCGAGGAGCAAAAAAAAGTTTATTAATAATAAGTTTGTCGCTTGAAATTAATAAAAAAGATGAACTCCCTCAGTTTATTTGAGTGTAATTGTTTTACCTGAGCTGCAGCGTTGCATTGCTGCTGAACAGTGCAGGGGATGCTGTGCCCCTTTAAATTGCCCACACTGCAGATAAGGTGAGGAGTGGTTGATACAGTGCGGATGGAGAGCGCGTTTGTTCGCCCTTCTCCATCAGCAGCTCGTCTCTTGGTATGCACAGCAATGCCCGACTGCAGGTTTGACTAAAGCTTTAACCCAGCTGCAGCCCAGCGGCCACCGCTGAAGGCTCTCAGTCAGAAACCCTCTGTTTTTACCTGAAGAATTAAATAAAGAAAAACATCTCCCACCTCCTGCAGGTCCAACAAAAACACTCAGGCATGGGTGTTTTCTTTCATCCATGTCGTTGTGTGTGTGTGTGTGTGTGTGTGTGTGTGTGTGTGTGTGTGTGTGTGTGTGTGTGTGT